TTCATGTAATGAGTTGGTAATTTTTTCGACCATTCCTTGTTTTGTTTCTGTTGCTCTGTCTCTTTCTCTTTTTGTTTAATATTTTATCTAATAATAATCTCCAGTCAAGTGAACGAGAATGAATAATGAATTTTATGCATAGAGTAGACTAGAGTAGAGTAGAGTACAGTAAAGTAAAGTAAAGTGAAGTAAAATAGTGTAGAGTAGTAGACCTTTAAAGCAACAATGCAATATGCTTGCGAGCGAATTTATTTAATCGTACAGAACAAGTTGGCACAAAGTTTGGAATTTGATATGTTATTTATTCATTAAAATGTAGAGAAAGTGCATAGAAATTCCATCTAACTATGCATATACAAATGCTGATGGCTCGCTCGTACAATTCTCCGCTTCATCCAATATATTTCATTTGCAACATGCAAATTCGTACAAATACAGGCGCATTTATATATATATATATATATATATATGCATTTAAGAATTAGAAAAAGCCGTTAGTTATCTATAGATATATATATATATATATATATATATAGATGTATGTAGATGTGTAAGGCTATCTATCATCCACTTATACAAACATAAAATGTATTAAGATTTTTTACTTCCATGGTATATGGGAATGATGTAAGAAGGCATCTATAACTTCGGCTTCTTCTTAATGCATCTATCTATTTAAAGTCATGATTATCATCTTTGGTCTTTGTCTGGACAACGGCAAAAAAAGTTCACTTCACGTTTAAGTAATAGATCGAAATTCAATCGAATCAACAATCTACACAATCTATACGAATTTCAAAATTATTATCATGGCACTTAATTGTGTCCTTTAAAAAGTTTAGGTCAATTCCAAATTCTTTTGCAGAATTTGTAGGCGGTAACTTCACCTTCGCTAGCGAGAGAATTATTACCACAAATACTATAAAGTTGCGCCAACAGGTTGTTGTAGCAACAGAATTCGGACTTGACTTAAACTTTTCAAAGGGGCAAGCCTACAATCTGCCCACATTGCCTATTCGATAAAAATTTTTATTTTGAAACTAGAAGAAATCAACTGTGTCCACTCGATTTTATAGAGCATAAGAATTTTGTTCGTTTACTTCTTTTGCCCTTTTTTTTTGGGGATATACGGGTAATACGGGTATAAAAGATACGATCCCGAGAGAATTTAATTTTCTTACTTATTCGATATTGAAAGTGTTTTGATTTTTAATGAATGAATGAACCGATCCTATGGTAGTGATTAGAAAAAAACGTAAAAATCAGAGCAAAGAAAACCATTTAAAGTAATATGAAAATGAGGAATAAATGAGAACCAAGTAATAGTTAATACGAACATGAGAACTAACACATTATTGTAAAAATTAAAGAATACGTATACGAGTTTAATGGTAAAAAAAAAATCATTTATATGTTTATTGCTTTTAAAAAATATAATTATGTAATATAATAACATATGTGTAAACTTAACATAATTACACAGACACTAAGTAAATAAAATTTTTTTTTTTTTTATAAAGTAAATAACCGAGTTACTAATACTATATAGTCTGCATTTATGAAGATCAGCATTTAAAAGGGCAGTGAAAGAGTGGATTTGATGCATGCTAGCGAAAGACAAAAGATTGAAGAAATTATGTTTGCTTATTTAAAGAAGTGATTTACTCTTAACTGAAAGGCATAGGTATGATGTGCACCTTAGCTCGAAGCCATGACTCATGAACGAAACAATTATGGTTTCACAGATTTACTTGAACTTGAATTATTTAAGTAAACCTAATAAAAATCAAAAGCAAAAAAAAAAAAAGGTTTACATAAAATGCAAAAAGGAGGAAAGGTTGGCAAGCGAGAGGCGAGAAAACGGATGACGAGTTTATGGTCCACTTTGATGGCATTCTGAACCAAGCAAAGCAAACAAATGGATTTCTTCCCAAACTAATTAATGATAGTTTGGAGAGGAGGTGGCTTTCCCTTCCCTTTACAAAAATCTAATAACACGCGCTTGATTCGTAATTACAGAGGCATTTCGAAATCTACTACTTTGCCATAGCCTTGCTAGTGAGTACCTATATGTGCGAGGATCAATCTTCAGTACAAATTCAATTACATTATTTGTACTAATGAAAGCGCGGGGAATCGAAGAGGAGGGGGGAAGGGGATGGGGCTATGTTTATAACCCTTTTGAAACGGTTGTGTTCAATACATGAAGCATTTCGCAATCGTCTTTCAATTGATGTGATCCACACCGATCGTAGTCGAGTGTTCGTTGGAATTAACCACATTCTGCTAATTTTCAAACCCAACGATCTCCGGTTTTCCTCAAGGTAATCATCTGAGACGAAGTCTTTTTGCTTTACATCTAAATAGCTTCAAATATTCTTGGATGTGCCGATTATGTCAAATTGATTCGATCGTTCAACACGTTTGACTACTTGACTTTGTGCCTGATTTAAACTTAGTGGGACTGCACGGAAATAAAGGCAAAACAAAAATATTCAGCAGGCGCGGACTTGTCTCTGTACACAATCTATGCCATGCATTCACGAATGCTGCATGAATAGCACGTCCTTTTCGTTGAATCTGGGTGTTATTCTTAATAGTCAGTTGCGCCTTAATCTGCACATTGAGATGATCGTCAATAAAGTGAAAAGTCGGAAGAATTTGCTGATCCCGTTATTACTAAGACACTATTTACTAGGCTTCTGGGATGATTTGGAACTCATCCTATCAATATTATACGCAACCTATTGCGTCCGTCCAAAAGCAGTTTTTGCTGTTTCCATTGAAAGCTCTCGAATGTGATGTTCTTGGGTATGGACTTTAATATCGCATAAGCATAGACTATTTATTATTGATTTATTAAGCATAACCTTTGCGATCCAGTTACTAAATCATGAACTTGATACGCTTGCGTTATAGAATAAAGAATTAATCTAAACATCGTGGATGGAGCACTCTAGCATTAACTTTCATTTAGACTTGCTTAACTAGGAGCTTGTTAATGTTATCTGCCCGGAATATTATCGAGTAGAGGGATTTGAACGACATATATATACCACTGTTCTACTTCTCTGATTCATTGGCTGAAATTCAGTTTAATTCTATGAACAGCATTTCCGCTTCATTTGCGGCTCTAATTGAAATTCAGTCGCCGTCATTTATCAGCTCAGTTATATTACCATATCACTGAATATATTTTAATAGGATTTTTAGCATGTTGCTTAACTATTATGTTGTACTTGCTTGCTTGTGTTACATTACGTTTCATCTAAACACTTATTTGTATATATATACATACATACACTCTGTTTTTTTTCGCATTATTGCTCATAATTTCAAGTTTTGTAATCTTCGGTTTTTTAATTTTTCTACCCTCTTCACCTATTTCTTTTACCATATTCTTTCTATCGTAAAATAAATTTCAATTTATCACCCTACATGCTCATGGTAGTTGTTGTTTAATATCGCATAAGATATTATTATTCATATTATAAAAGTCAAAATCATTCAAAATAACAAAAAAAAAAAAAAAAAAAAAAAAAACCATTTGTTGATATAAAATTTGTAGTTGAATAACAAATAAAACAAAAGAAATAATTCTATATTTATCTCTAACAACGATTAGCATAATTGTAATGTTGTGTAATAATGCAATAATGCTGAACAACAATCAGCTGAGCAAATAAATGAAAATAATAATAATAATAATAATAATAATAATAATAATAATGGTAAAAGAAAGAGAGAGTGAACAGAGACGACCTATCTTCGGGACTTCAGATTGCATGAATGAGGAATGAGCTTAGAAAAAAATAATTAATTTCAAAGGCTATAAATAATGAAAGTCTTTCTTAATTAAAACAAAATTTAATAGGTCAGTAAAGTGAATTTATGAAACGGATTATTGAGATCTGCATATGATTTAAAAAAAAAAAAAATTAACTAATCGTTTAATAATAGTAAGATATAACTAACACTATCACAGATATTGGGAAGAATAATTTTTACAAACAAAGGAGAGAAGGAATATCTTAAGAACGATAGGAATTTGACTTGGAACGAATATCCATCGTTCGATACATGATCGATAACGAGACATGAGGCAAAAAGGCTTTAGGCTACGAAGACGAAATAAAGCATAAAAGAGAGAAGTAGGTTTGCACCTGGATATTATTTTATAACCTTTCACCTTTTATAGGGTATCAGAATTTCAATTTCAATTTCAATTTTTTTTTTTATTTTCAAAACTTTTATTTTCTTAAACTGGCCATCTGTCCATCCGAGCAATAATATATATCTGGAGTTCGCAAAAATCAATATATCGCCAACAAATTTGCAAAAGGATTTTGCAATTGATCCAAACTTTTCAAAAAAACGCGCCTACATGCCTTCCCTTGTTTTCACCTTATTACTCATAAGGTACAACAAGTACAACGTCTAAACTTTCACTTTGATGCTGAAAATAGAAAAAATCAGCTGCGCCCACCCAATATTGCAGAGTATGAAAATTTCCTTTTTTTTTTTCTTTTTTTTTTGGATTCGGTCACGACCGAATATAATTTTTTTCTTTTGTTTTCTTTCGAAAGCAAAATTGTTCACAGTTGTTTATATGGCACAGTAGGTGCTTCTTTCGACCGATTTCGCTTCTTTTCCGCAGCAATTTGCAGGGAAAAAACTTTTAATAATTCTGCCAAGTTTGAAGTTAATAATTAACTTCATTTTTGTAATGAAGAAAATTTTTACGTCAAACATTCATAGACAATTAGACAGACGGACGAAAAGATGGCGACATGCTTAATCTAAAAGATATCGGAAGAGTGGAATAATCTTAAGCTGTTCACGCTGTCCATTTATATCAGGTGTAAAAAAATTAAGCACAATTTTATTTGAATAAAAATTTGTACATTTTTAATTTTAATCATCTTTCAGTCATTCAGTCAGTCTTTCAGTCTCAGTTCACTAAAAAAAAAAATAAAAAATAATTACAATACAAAAAATTATTATTGCTGTTGGTCTATTAAAATTGTAGGTGTTATGACGCCTCCGGATTTCTCATGCATATTAGAGAGTTTGTTGAAGGGCGCATGCACATCGGGATCGTTGGGAAATAATGAACGCAAATCCGGTACGCCTATCGTGCACATTTTACAATTTTTATAGTCGGCCGTTTCTTTAAGTGCGTGACGTCTATTACGTATGAGAGGAGCAGATATATGCGAAAAACGCGGCATTGGTATACGAACACGGAAAGTTCGATTCGACACATAATTGCAAATTTTTGTACAATCATAGAATAGCGATGATGCCGGACGCCATGCTTTTAAATAATGATTATTACACATTGTTAACTTAGGAGCACCAAAGGATGGCATTTTTTGTAATGAATTTTCCTCATTTGATTGCCGTACCGTAGGCAATGTTATTGTCGGCGTTTGAAAAACATTTGTCACATCAGGTAAATGGTCGCTGTTATTGGATGTAGATAATGCAGGCAAATGAACTGACGGCGATTGTATTGGTAGTTCAGATGATTCATTAAACGCAAAAGTTTGCCTATTCACCGTAGGACTCGTTGGCGGAAGGATTTTGTTTTCTTCTTTTATAAAATTTTCGCGCGGTGCCTCTAATTCATGAAAGATAAAAGAATAAATGCCGTCGCGCCTTTCCAATTCCTTTAACATTAACTCATCGTGATCTAAAGGACTTTCAGAGTTTTCTCTTATCAGCGAACACATAACGTCAAACGAAGCGTTTAATGTTTAAACAGTCTCTCAATGTGCTCAGTAGTTGTTGACAGTTGAAGCGTTACTGAACAGTCAACCCATTCGCGTTCGATGCTAGTTAATGTGACTGTGCAAATGAAATATTCATATAAACGGTATCATAAACAGCAGCAAGTTCATGTTTATCCATACATATGGATATGTCCATATATGCATGCCAGCATGCATGTATTCATATAATGAAAAGGGGCAGATTGTTTACTTTCCAATGAATTATTTTATTATTTGTGCGTAATGTTACACGTAATATAACTTAAGGCCTAAAAAAAAAAAAAAAAAAAAAAAAGAAGCAACTTCCACAACTGATTGGCGTACACGAATCTGTTGATATTTATATAATTTACATAAACAATTTCATGATAATAACTTTCTGTTTATAAAAAACAAAAAAAATTCGAGAATATATATTTAACTTTTATTATTATTATTATTATTATTATTATTATGATTAAAAAGCTCTTTGAATAGAATAAATAACATAAGTAAACATAAATTCATTAAACTCGTCTTCGATACAAGTTTTCTGTTAATTAACATACACTCGAACGTATATGAAAGACTTTTCCAAATTTTTTTTTTTTTTTTTTTTTCACACATTTCACACACTCTTCGATGTATATGGATTTATTTACATTCAATTACGAATTGTATCCACAAACTAGCAGAATCAAAAATTTCATGACTGACTCGTATGAACACAAAAATAAAAATCTTTAATAAGTTATGCTTATTATCTATGCCTGTTGTTGTAAAATGTCTTCTATTTTGCATTTCGTTTTCACCTTGCAACATATCAATACTTTGCCCTAGAAATTTGCTTTAGATATATTTACAAATTATTCGAATTTTTAGCTAAAATCGGCTTGAGCCCTAAGCACGTTACGTATGCTGTCAAGAATTTACAAAAGTTATAACCGTTACAATCGTTCCAAAGCGAGTACGCGAATATTTCCCGAATAAAATCGAAACATGAACATCATAAGGTTCGGAAGCCATTGCGACAAAGAAGTACACGCTATTAAGTGAGGACGAATCGCGATCGTAATAACTTAGAGAAATCGTGAAAAGGCACTAAATTTACATAACCTTATGAATGGTCCCCATGGTTCTTGTATTTTCAGAATATATAGGTAGAAATTTATATGCTTTATATGTTGTACTTTATAAATACTAAGCAAGAAAAAGGCGGTGGAAAGCTAAGGTGGTTGCAGTTCTTTTTACATAGGCGTGCGGGTGCTGCTGGCATTTTCGTCGACCGGTTTAGGTCATTTTTAAACTTTGCTTTGCAAATTTGTAAGCGTTATCCTCATTTTTACGGAACGGAAGAACATTTATCACAGACACTAGACCACTGGGCAGACGGACACGTGCATAGACACAGCGGTCGGGGATGCTTCGATGGCTTATGGGGTTTTTGAAGCTTACTTCTGTACGTTATAAGGTTATTAAAAAAAAATATTCAACTTTGATACGCTATGGTATTGGGTAGGCGTGGTCAATTTTACCGTTAACAGCATCGCTCATAAAATATATTTTCAAATTTTTGCTAGATTTGTCTGCCGTAGTTTTTGAGTGGTGAGCAAAAAAACCAATTTTTTATTCCTTTTAAATAGCAAAGCTATTCTCAATTTACGTAGTACTATAAGCGTGCCCTTTAACCGATTTGATCCGTTTGCAACACCACGTTGTATGCAAGAATTTCCAATAATTTTGTTAAATCTGGAGTCGATCATTTCATTTTTGTAGGCAGGAGAACACTGATAACAGAAATAACACCAACGGTCCGACGGACCGACAAACAAGTTGACATACTTCAATCGATTTATTATTAATTATTATTATTATTATTATTATTATTATTAATTTCGCCAGAGAAATAAATTCTAAGACTAAACCTTTAAAGCACTAGCATATAAGTCTATCGGGCTTAATTGAAAACTCTATCGCACTTAAGATTCGAACCCACGACCATTGAGTTGCTAGTCGAAATTCCTCGCCTTCGATTACTCAGATTAGAGCGGATTAAAATCGATTTAGAATTTGATCGTGATGAAGAATATATAATATATATATATATATATATATATATATATACGATTGTTTCTAGTTGTTGCAAACGTTTTGACAAAATGATTGTACCCTTCATTTTTCGGTTAACGGGTATAAAAATCACTTAAATATATCAATGGGCGAATATGATACAAGGTTAGCAAAGACGACAATAATGAGAGAAAAAACATTTTCGGTTTGTACGAAGATCTAAAACAACAAATAAGAACACTATAGTAGAGCATGGCTCACGATTAAATATCCTAGATTTCATTTCATTCGTACTGCAGTTTCGTATTACGATTTTTCAAAATAAGTCGTTACATGTGAAGCGCTCGAGAAACTGGTCCATTTTCGAATTGGTTTGAATGTACTACGTGTCATCAAAATATCTCAAACATTGAGAGCTAGGAGAGATAGGAGAAAACAAGACGGACAGATCGCTCTGAGTAACATTCTGAATCGCGATAGATATAGTAAACGGTGTGTCTATCTCAAGTCCTTTTGGATATTGTATATGTCTGGACATATTTAATATAGTTTTGCATCACAAGTGTTGTGAGGTATAATAAATTGTACTAAGCAAAGTGCGAAGCATTTAATGATGAGTCGTTAGATCAAAAAATCCATTGAGTTTGATTTTTTTACAAATTGTTTCGCATTTCTTTTATATATATGTTGTATACCGATCGAATATCATTTTGCAAATGAGCGTAATCGGTAGCATTATTGTATATTGAGTTACCATGTATTTAAAGCTGATGTTTTTCTTGATCGTACTCTTCAGTGTCGCGCGATGGTTGCCTTAAGTTATTATGCATAATGAACTGCTGGAAATTTCCCAAAATATCTGCAGTGAATCATTTCGTTTAATCTTTTTTTAAAGAGGTAGAGAAAAAAGTATCTTATGAGCGTTATGAAGCTTCAAGGAAGTCAGTTAATTTTTTTTTAATTTGCACTTAACGACTCTGGACCTGGACGAAAGCATTTGCTATCAAATCGCAATATTTTCATAATTCGTTTGTGCATTTTTTTTTTTTTTTTGCCTCCACATCGTGGAAAGCGTTTCGAATCAACGCGAACACAAACCAACGAATAACAAAAATATAATAAAAAAAAAAAAAAAAAAAAAAAAAATTTTTATATTATCATCACAAACAATCATGCCGCGCGTACGCATCTTTACTGATCGAGTTCATTATACAAGTTTCGTTAAAAACGCAATTTCAGAAATTCCAGATATACGATGTGTGTCGAAAAGACGATGAAGGTCAACGGAAGAAATTAAAGTTCGTTGCTGACGAGATCACAATATCGCAATGAAAATTATGTTATTGACGTCGTTTAGGACACCATACCAAAAATATGAAATGTTTTCAAATGCCTTTGAAATATTTTAGAATATGTTATGTACGTAGAGTAATTGTTCCCCAACTGTGCACCCACTGAAAGATGGGCAAGGGGTGTATATTCGGTTTTCCTAAAATGTTTAGGCTTCACAGACAGTATAAAGTACATAAATATATTCTTGATCAGCATGAAATTTTGAATTAATTAAGCCATGTCTAACCGTCTGTGTGGTGTATGTTGTTGGCACTCTCCTGGTCGCACAAAAACGAAGATATCGACTTCAAATTTGGTAGCTTTTGCGCGCAGGCTACCATTGAAAATGGACCAAATTGATTAGAGCACAAGCCCGCAGTGAAGCGAAAGCTGAACGCACATTCATTCATCGAATGAAGTTATATTGTTTGCCTAAAATAATTACGATAACGACGATAACACAATCTGGTCGATTAATTTTTTCTTAATAAAGCCAACGACATTAGTATCAAATAAACTTGGACTTGGAAAGTAGATTGTGAAAAGCCAAGTGTGTGTGTGATTTTTAAAATGAATTATGATGGACTTCGCGACATGGTAGATTAATTGTTCTTAACTATACCTTTTAGTGAACTAAAAAGATCGACTATAAATCTTACACCCATTCAGGTTTTGATAACAATAAATAAAAGGATGGGGCGCCAAAGTTTTTATTGGTGACTGAGATACGAAATTCGGCCACAGCTGAATATAATTTTCTAATACTTTCTATTTTTATTCAATTTTTGTAATTATTTCCTTCATTTCTTAAGCCGCGAACAAGTGCAAGAATCCTTTAACAAAACTCTATCAACTACTGATTGCAGGTGTATTGAAGGAAGGATTAAATAAAATTTCCATAAAAATGTTAATTTCTTATTTTTTCCAAATATTTCTTAATGCTTTCCAGCTAAATCTGAAAGAAAAAGTAATTTATATTTACCCGATAGTGGGTCTTTAGAGTATACCTTCTTAAATCAACATATTACACAATGTGTCATAACGACTAGATGTATCTTCGTCAATATATCGTCGCGTTGTTCGTTTATTTGACCCTAAGAAATATTCGTAAGAGTTTCTAAATTAACGCCTCTCAAAGGTTACTTCTTTATCTACCATGGCACCGTTTAAAGGCGAATCGCACATATATGTATGTATATCCATATACGTATGTATGCATACATATATGTATTGAGGTCCACGACATCGATAAAAATTGGATATGATTCGCCTTTGAAATATTTATACATAATTTATATATATAATATATATATATATATATAATATATATATGTTAGCAGACATCATGGGCCGAAAGTGACACCATTAGGTAGACCAGGATAGAGAAAGGCCCAGATATGAAAATATGCTCGTTCGGTAAGGTAGATTTCCTCCGTCCGTCTATTCGTGCAAACGTCAAGTGCGTGCTACGCTTTCAAGTGTAAATCTTTTAGCGCTGTCCGTGAGACAAAAAAAAATTTCGGTTTTAATGGTAAACATCAAATTTACCAAAAATGGTACCGTCTACTCCTTCTTTCGTCCACATGCACCTTTCTGACAATTCTCTGAAGGCATTTTGACAATCGTAATATACTTGCTTGTAAATGCGGTCTGCTTTTAT